ATTATGCATTAAGCCTTACAAGGAAAAATGGTAAATTCTAGGCCGGGCATAGTAGCTCATGCCTATAATCCTAGCACTCTGGGAGGCCAAGGAGAGAGAAGGATTCCTTGAGGCCAAGAGTTTGAGATCAGCCTGAGCAAGAAAGAGATTTCCATCTCTATTAAAAATAGAAAAATTAGGGCGGTGCCTGCAGCTCCAAGGAGTAGGGCTCCGGCCCCATATATTGGAGGTGGCAGGTTCAAACCCGGCCCAGGCCAAAAAAAAAAAAAAGAAAGAAAGAAAGAAAAATTAGCTAGGTGTGGTGGTGAACACCTGTAGTCCCAGCTACTCTGGAGGCTGAGGCAGGAGAATTACTTGAGCCTAGGAGTTTGAGGTTGCTATTAGCTAGGCTGATGCCACAGCAATCTACCTAGGCCAAAAGAGTGAGACTTTTGTGTCAACAATGAAAACAAAGTTAAATTCTGTAAAGTTTCCCTGAACTTTGTCTATATAAACAATCCCAAACTCTTACACTTTTTTTTTTTAAACAGAGCCTCAAGCTGTCACCCTTGGTAGAGTGTGGTGGCATTACAACTCATGGCAACCTCCCACTCCTGGGCTCAAGCGATTCTCTTATTTCATCCTCCCAAGTAGCTGGCTTGGACCAGCCTGGCTATTTTTTGGTTGCAGCCCATCATTGTTGTTTGGCAGGTCCAGGCTAGATTGGAACCCACCAGCTCAGGTGTATGTGGCTGGCATCTTAGACGCTTGGGCCATAGGAGCTGAGCCAACTCTTACATAACTCACAGCAACCCCAAAGTCTTGGGATCAAGCGATCCTCTTGCCTCAGCCTCCCAAGTAGCTGGGACTACAGGTGCCAGCCACAACACCTAGCTATTTTTTCTATTTTTAGTAGAGATGGGGGTCTCGCTCTCGCTCAGGCTGATCTTGAACCCCTGAGCTCAGACAATCCACCTGCCTCAGCCTTCCAGAATGGTAGGATTACAGGCGTGAGCCACTGTGCCCACCCAATAATAAAAACTTAACATTTGAGTGTCATATTAGTTTATAGTTATGCTCACATATACATTTTTTCTCTAAACCCTTTTCACTTTAATTTTGTTCCTCTGATTTTATGCAAGTAGTTATCCTCCACTAGTATGTTAATTTGAACATTGAAAACTAAGGCTAATCATGATAAGTATCAGCCACTATTATTTCATTGTTCTGTAACATATTTGCTTCTGCTTCTGGCTACTGCATGAGCTGTCTAAAGTGGGTTCACTTTCTGTTAGTTTATATCTAATCACCAATGAACTTCTAAATATAACATTTCCGGCTCGGCGCCTATAGCTCAACCGGCTAAGGCGCCAGCCACGTACACCTAAGGTGGCGGGTTCGAATCCCCAGCCCGGACCCGCCAAACAACA